CAAACACAAAGGCTCTGAGGCTAGAAGCCCAGCTGGAGCCTGAACAGGAGGGGCCATCCCAGAGGCCATTTTCTTATAGCTGAGACTTGGAAAAAGAGGAGATATGCCTAACAGGAGTTAAACTCATCAGGAGTAAACTAGAAACTAGAAAGACTTAAAAAGATTAACTGATGGTCTTTTATATAAGGATACAGTTTTGGGGCTGAGGATGTCGCTCCGTGATAGTGTTAAAGTTTACTCTGTTGCTAAGTATTGTAATGCTAAATACTGCCTCACCCCCCCAGGCCCAGTTGCCCCAAGGATTAGAGAATCTGCACGTAGATCCCAGTAACAATATGTGACCTTGCCTCCCAAGTTATCCCTGATTGGTTAATAAAGATCCCTACAGCCTATAGCTGGGCAGAATTGAGATACGCTGGGCTTCGGGGTTGGAGGGGAACCACAAGGGGAAGGAGAAGGAGGAGGAGGAGGAGGAGGAGGAGGAGGAGGAGGAGGAGGAGAAAGGAAGGAGGGGAGAAGGGTTAGGTGAATCATAAAGGGCAGCCCAGACAGAACATGGAAAATTATAATTTGGGGTTATAGAGTCTAATAGCTTAGAGGGTAGATATCTGCCCAGCTCGAGTGCTGGTTAAAGCTTACTGTAAATATAAAAGGTGTGTGCTTTCTATCTGGGAATTGAATGATCAAAGGTGGGGTAGAAACCCAATTGAGATTAAATATTTTCTACAATAATATAGTTGTGCGTATTTTCTTTTGTTTTGTGGCACTACCAATTAGTGAATCAACCCCGGGGCCTCACACACTCACCATACACTACCTCTGAGCCATATTCCAGCTTCAAGAATGTATCCTTTTCTGTCATTGTTTTGTGTTTTTGGGGGGAGGGGGGGCCTATGGCTTCCACTATTTTCCCCTACCCCTCAAAACAGGGTTTCTTTGTGTGTTCGCTCTGGCTGTCTTGGAACTTGCTTTGTAGACCAGGCTGGCCTTGAACTCACTGACCGGGACTACGGCCCTGGCCCAGAGCTCCAAACCAGAAGCAATAAGCAACAGGGGTGATGGGCTGGCGGTATTCCTCCAACATCACCAAACCCATAAAATGAGGCTCTCGAATCCTTCCAGGGCCAGACCATGGCTTGGGTCCTTCAGGTTAACCCTGGTATCCCTGGCTGTATCTCTCAGAGCAAGGTAACCATTGAGGGTCTAGAGGGAATAGCCAGCTGAGTACAGACAGACAAACTCAAATGGAAGGAGTCTGGCACACGGACACGTGTTGTCCAGCTGGAGATATGACGCAATGAAGGCAGGCTGGGGGGGGGGGGAGGAGGCTGGAGGCAGGATTGCAGCAATGCGGGAGTGCAGCCCCAGGGTTCTGTCCTGAGTGGCTGGTCAGGTATCAGCTGGCAGTCTCCAGGTGGCATTCCTGACCCAAGCCTGGCTGAGGGCTCACACTTTATGTGTCCTCCTGGTGAGCTGGGTCTCCTCATCTACCAGCTTGGATATGAGGTGCTCTTTGTAGGCCAGGATATTGCCAGGTCATTTGGTGATGGTCTGCTTCTCATAGACCCAAATCTCCTGTGCAACCTGCTGGATGAGTCTGAAATCATGGCTAACTAGCATCATGCCACTCTCAAACTCATTGAAAGTGCCTGCCAGTGCATCAGTGGTCTCCATTCCAGGTGATTGGTACACTCGTCCAGAAAGAGGATGTGAGGGTTCTGCCAGGCTAGCCAGGCCAGACACACTTGACACTTCTGCCCATCTCACAGGTCCTGGATTGGGCTCACCTGCGTTTCCCCATGAGGCCGTATCTCCGAGTGATCTTTGTCATCTCCTCTGTCTCCTTGATCTCTGGGTAGCACTTCATCATGTACTCCAATGGTGATGGGTCCAGGTCCAGCTGTTCTTTTAAGTGGTGATGTAACTAACCCTCTATTGTGACATGAGAATGGTTCTAGATCATTCCAACTTTGGGCAGAAGCTCTCCAGTTAGCCGCTTCAAAATAGTGGAGTTCCCTGCCCTGTTGGGTCTCTCCAGAGCCACTCATGTGTCAAGGTCACTGCCAAATTCTAGATTATTGTAGATGGAATTACATACTGATCATAACTACCCATAGAATACTTCAGTTTCTTGTTGTGGGTGATATCGGTACAGACCCCATTCAGAAAGTCCTGGGAATGGGACACAAGGACCACGATATGCTTGAAAGTTTCTCTTCCAGCCACACAGAAACATCCAGGTCCAGGTGGTTAGTAGGCTCATCCAGAAGCAGCGTGAAGAGCTGAATAAAGAAGGCTCTGGCAAGAGCAAGTCTCATCTGCCAGCCACCACTGAAGTCTTTCAGCTTATTTCACTGCAGGGCCTCTTGAGGTCCTCATCTCAGCTTTATGGGCATCCAGCTCTTCCGGCTGCTCATCGAGTTCCATGAACATCTATCTCACACTCCACACCCTCACGAGCTAACTAAGCGTGCTCGGCCCCCCTCTCCAGGTGAGAGAGGTTGATAATGTGGATGTCAGTCTGTCAATCTGTCAGTCCTGCTGGGGTGAGAGGCCAGGATGCCCGGTTTGAGTAGCAGCTTTCTTCAGCAAATCCACTTCTCCATCACCCTGCCATTGGCTTCTTCATTTTTCTCCTTTGCCACCTTTGCATGTTCTGTGACAGCATCTCCATCATCTTCTTGTCCCTTTTGGGATCAGTCATCTCTAGACCTATCTCATCTTCTCAAACTGACACTGTCTCCACCACTTCCAATTCCTTTCTCCTCCGTGCCAACTATTGTTTTCCAGTCTGTCTTTATGAAACTGTCTATTCAAGGAACATCAGTTAAGAGGCAGGCAGATTTCTGAGTTTGAGGCCAGCCTGGTCTACAGAGTGAGTTCCAGGACAGCCAGGGGTACACAGAGAAACCATATCTCAAAAAAAAAAAAGAACCTCAGTTAAGTCAATATTTGTCTTCAATATATATCCATGGCATGGCAAATGTGACTTTCCTTCCTTTTTAAGGCTGGATAAAGTGGCGTGTAGTGGTGCACAGCTTTAATCCCACCGCTCGGGAGGCAGAGGCCAGCCTGGTCTACAGAGTGAGTCCCAGAACAGCCAGGGCTACACACACACACACACACACACACACACACCACACACACATACACAAAACCCCTGTCTCAAAAAATTAACTAATAATAATAATTTTAAAAGTATTTGAAGGACTGGAAATGCTTTTCAGTTGGTAGAACATGTCCCTAGCATGCAGAGTTTTGGGTTCCCTCTGCAGCACTCCATTACTGGGTATAGTGGTCCACACCTGTAAAGCTAACACTTGGGAACTGGGGGCAGGACACTCAGCAATTCAAGATTGGCTTCTAGCTACATAATGAGTTGGAGACTAACATGAGTTACACAAGACCCTACTCAAAAAAAAAAAAAAAACAAAAAAACAGACAGACAGGTAAGGTAATACCATCACTCAGGACTCTGATAAAGGAGGATGGGACAATTGGAAATTCAAGGAATGTCTGCTTTATACAACAAGTTAAAAGCCAACCTGTGCAATTTAGTAAGACAAAAAAGAAGGGCAGGGCTGTGTGGCTCAGTGGTCGAGTGCTTGCCTAGCATGCATACTAAGAAACTGGGTTTGATTCCCCATACCACACACACAAAGACTAAAATGGAAAGTTTCACATTTTAATAGTTTAAACATTTTATAAAAGTTAACAAAAATAGTATATGTATTTTACCACAATAAGAAACAAATTTAGAGCCAGGCGGTGGTTGGCGCATGCCTTTAATCCCAGCACTTGGGAGGCAGAGGCAGGCGGATTTCTGAGTTCAAGGCCAGCCTGGTCTACAGAGTGAGTTCCAGGACAGCCAGAGCTACACAGAGAAACCCTGTCTCGGAAAAAAAAAAAAAAAGAAAGAAACAAATTTAGGGCTGTGACTAAAGTTGAGTGGCTGATTATTTGCTTAGCATGTGTGAGGCCTCAAGTTCAATTCCAACACACATACACACACAAAGAAAGAAAGGTTTTACACACTAATTGTTTTTTGGTTTTTTGTTTTGGTTTTTCGAGACAGGGTTTCTCTGTGTAGTCCTGGCCGTCCTGGAACTCACTCTGTAGACCAGGCTGGTCTCAAACTCAGAAATCCGCCTGCCTCTGCCTTCCAAGTGCTGGGATTAAAGGCGTGTGCCACCACTGCCCGGCACACTAATTGTTTTTATTGAGAAAATACATACATATTCTGACAAACATAGGCCAGAGTGAGCTGTGGCCATTTCCAGACGGTGGAAACACAGAGAATAGTCTGTACTGTACATTTCCACATTCCCAGAATGTCTGATGATGAGCATATAATCTTGTAATCATAAAATGATTAGAGATGGAAAAAAATCAGACAGAGGGGATACCAGGCAATGGATTAGCATGAGAAGCACTTGGGCTCTCCATGTCCTAGAGGGTTTTCCTTCCTTACTGGGGGGATTTGCTTTCCCACATGTTCCCCTAAGGATAACTAAGGGCGAATGGAGAGCAGAGAGAAGGGCAGGGTTCTGGGGATGCTGAGTCACAGGTGCAGATAGCAATTTTCCTTATGAGACCAAAAAGAACTTGGGGCTAGCAGGCACCAGAGCAGGAACACTCGGTCTCCGCTGTCCTTAATCCCCACCTCTATAGCCTGAAGGAGGTTGAAGTGCCTCAGGGTACCACAACTATGACTCACAAGCAGGGGCCCTGAGACACAGGCTCCTGCCTGGAATGTGACCACTGTGGCCTCTCCACCGTATTATTGAGGACCCATCTAGACAGTTAGTGTGTGCACGCTGCACAGGGCTGAGAAGGAGCTGGCATCATCGGAAATGTTTGTTCCTCTGCTGCGCTCCCAGGTTGCTAGGGTAAGATCCATAAACAATGCCTGGCTTCTGTACTTCATTCCTGATTAATGAGGGCCAGCTTTCTGCTTAACAATCGTTGGACAGGATCCAGGCAGCTCCCCTGCTCCTCCTAACAGAGGCCTCAAAGCTCTCTCTGCGCTCTATCCGCCCTCCCTACACAGTGGTTAACTGGGGCCTTTTCCTCTCCTGTGGCCTGGTGAGCTGGCCTGGCCTTGTCACTCAGCTATCTCCAGTCATGAGTGTCTCCACCCAAATATAGGTCCTTCCAGAAGCTGTCATCTAAGTGGCAGTGTGCTTGCTGAGGTTGGACATGAGTCTGTCTCACCTGTCAACATTTCCTAGGCCTTTCTGGTGTTTGCATTGCTTTGGCTTTTCTGTTTTGTTGTTGTTGTTTTTTCATATTTTGTTTTATTTGTTGTGTTCTGTTTTGTTTTAGTTGGTTAGTATTGTTGTTGTTGTTATTGTTTGATTATTGAGACAGGGTTTCTCTGTGTAATAGGCCAGGCTGGCTGTCCTGGATTTGCTTTGTAGATCCCCCTGCCTCTGCCTCCCCCTCCCAAGTGCTGGGACTAAAGGTGTGCCCCACCATACCTGGCCTTTGACATTCATTTGTGGGCTTTTTGTTGTTTTGGTTTCTTGAGACAGGGTTTTATATAGTTCAGGCCTGGCCCATAGCAGAACATCTTATGAACTTCTGATGGTCCTGCTTCTACCTCTTGAATTCTAGATTAAAAGTGTGCACTATTTCATCCAGGGTCTCTTTGCATCTTACTGAACACCCTACTAACCTTGAGCATTCTGAGCCCCCTTAGGCCTTTCTAGATTTCCCTGATCTCTCATGCTTTCTCTCTCTCCCACAGATGAGTCATCCTCAAAGACTGTGGTTCATACCAGTTGTTTCTGAAAAACTCTTTGGCCGAGTGCTCACCACATAGCTCAGGTTGGTCTCAAAATCATGGCTATCCCCCCTGCCTTAGATCCTCCAGTGCCTGGATTACAAACATATGCCACATGGCACAACTTGGCCTGTTGTTTTGTTTTGATTTGGATGCTGGGGATTGAACCCAGACCTTTGCACATGCTAGACAAGCAATCTATGTATTCTTTTCCTTTTTACGGATACGTACGTGTGTAAGCATGTGTGCGCAGGAGCAGGCAGAGGTTAGAAGAGAGCACCAGATCCCCTGGAACTGGAGTTACAGGCAGCTGCAAACTGCCATTTTGGTGCCGGGAATAGAACCTGTATTCAGTCCCCTGCTTGGATTCTTTAAAAACTAATTTTATTAGAGAATACATTACTTCCTTTCAGATCTATGCGGATATGCGAAGTATTTCCTTTATCCCTCTCCAGAAGAGAAAAGGAAACAGAAGTGGGGCCTGATACAGAACTCCAACTCCTATTAATGGATGTGAAGTGCCCAGGATGTCATAAAATCAGCCTAGTCTTCAGCCATAAACAAAGGGCAGTCTCGTGTGTTGGCTGCAGCATTGCCCTGTCAGCCTACAGAAGGACAAGCAAGGCTGACTGCTCCTGCAGGACACAGTACTCAAAGCACCTTGGTTCATGATGAGTGGGGAGTTATCCCAATTAACACATCAGAGATTTAAAAAAAAACAGCATTGTTTCAAATGAGATAAGTTTTAAATATCTATTTTGATGAATTTGGGGTTTAGGGAGTGTGTGGTTTGGTTTTCATTTTGCTATGGAGCCCGAGAGCCGGAACATCAACCTAAAACCAAGGGCACGTTCCTTCTATAGGCCATGATGCCCACCTTTTCCTATTAAGAGTCCTCACACTCCAAATAAAGGATCCTGGAAGACCAAATGACATCTGTGTGTGTATGTGTTGTGCTAGGACTAGAACCCAGGACTCCAGTACATTAGGCAAGCGCTCTACCACTGAGGCAGCGATAGACACGCCTGTGTGTCGCCCTCCTCTCTGCCTTCCCCACCACCATTCCTGCAGCTTTGTGTTTCCCAGCCTCCTACCAGTTGGAGATGAACACTACCACATCAGTGAGGGTTGCTGGATAGGCCTTCCTGGGCAGGCCTTTTGCCGTGTGTCGTGTACATGAATTTGGTGAACTGACGTGGTGGTGGGAATGCGAACACTCTCCATAGGTTCATATATTAGAATGCTTGGTCCTCCCCCCAACCCCGTTTGGGGAGGATTAGGAAGTGTGACCTTATTGGAAGAGGTGTGTCACTGGGGCAGACTTTGTGGTCCAAAAGACTCCAGTGGTCTCTAGTGTGTGTGGTGTCTGCCTCCTGCTTGTGTTTAAAGATGTGACTCTTCCCTGGTGCTCCTCCTCTACCAGCATGGATTCCTGAATCATGAACCCCCAGAAATCAGAAATTCCAAATTCTTCCTGCCTGACTGCCTTCCTTTCTTTTCTTCTTCTTCCTTTTCTTCCCCTCCTCCTTCCTTCCTTCTTCCTTCTTCTCCTTTCTTGTGAGGGTGGGGTGGGTTGTGGCTGTTCTAAAACTATGTAGACCTTGAACTCCCAGAAATTAGCCTGTCAATGCCTCCTATAAGCTACACTAAAGTCAGGTGCTACTGAACTCATTCTTCATTATGCTATCTTATCACAGCAATAACAGTCATGTACTGTTTGAGCTCACTGAGCAGTGGAAGTAGAATTGAACCATTTCAGACCCAAGCAGATCCACATCATAGCAAGTGTCCTCCAAGACCCCTTGTCTGGGGATTTACCTAAGCCCCCTAAATCTGTAACAGGGACGAAAGAGAACAGAAAAATTGGCCAAGAGTAAAACCAGCATGTCCTTAGAGACAGGTAGAGGGTAAGCCATTTCCCCCGGAGGTTTGCCCATGATCTGAAAATGCTGGCAGTAGGGAAGGGAAACTCACCCACATGAGAACTCCAGCTGGCTACCTCCCCTCCCAAGGTGCATTTCTGCCAGGGTTTGTTGTCCCGTCTGATTATAGGTAGGAGTGTCACTGTATAGCTCTGACTGGCTTAAACTCTCTATGTAGAACAGGCTGGCATAGAACTCACAGAGAGCCACCCCTGCCTCTGCCTCTTGAGTGTAAGAATTAATGGCATGCAATACCATACTGGTTTGCTGGAATTTTTGATTACCCAGTTTAATGATGTTTTGTTCTTTGTCTGTCAATCAATCACCTATCACTCACTATTTATTTTGGTTTTACTTTGGTTTCCTTCATAAACTCATTCAAAACCAAAAGAATTAGCCTGGTGATGGTGATACGTGCCACTAATCCCAGAACTCTGGAGGTAGGCAGATATCTTGAATTCAGGGCCAGCCTAGTCAACAGAGTGAGTTCTAGGACAGCCAGGGCTACACAGAAAAATCTTGTCTTGAAAAGCCAATAGGGGGAATACTGTGTTACTTAAGACACTGGTTTATTAAAGACATTGCAACCCCTCCCTATAAGGAGATCCATTTATGTATCATGAGACACCGAGGGCCCAACCCACAGCCAATACCATGAGATGGCCATCTTGGAAGTGGCTCCTTCAGCCTCTGTTCAGTTGTCAAGAGTATATATACATGTGTGTGTAGATACATCCATACACATATACATATGTGTCTATACACACACACACACACACACACACACACACACACACACATATATA